ATAAATTTAACTTTCGTATCGAAAATATCCCGAAAGCTTATTATCATATGGCTTAAGAAAAAACTCTTAAGCCCTATTCAGCCTCTATTGGGAAAAACAATTTCAAGTCATTTAACGCTTGAAATAACTAAAAGTATATACAGAAAATGTGGTAATTATAATTATAAATGCAACTTAAAATATTTAATTATTCAGTTTTATTTATTTATTTATTTATTCATTCATTCATTCATTCATTATCATTGAGGACTTTTTTCAAAGAATGAATCAAAACATTCGATTCCTTTCATATCAAGCTCTTTTCAGATTATCGATAAAACATAAAATAATCTATTTTCGTCATTTCGATTAGAATTTAAATATTCAAAGTATCGATTTTATCAGAAAATATTTCATATCAAGATTTATCTAATTTTAAATTTATTTTAAATAGGCTAACTGTTATCTTACAAATCTTTAAGATATCTTACTAATGATAGTTAAATTTTGAGCTTTTTAAAAAATTTTATCTAGAGAAATATTCTGAAACTGAAAGAAGTGCAAAAGAGGAAAACGATGATTTCATTCTTTCTTACAGAACATTACCCAGTTACTGCGAAGTCACGTTGCCTATTTTCAAATTTAGAAGACAGAAAATATTTTAACAAATATATATTTCAATTTACTAATATAAACAGTGCCAATATTCTACACGGAGAAAGCGAAGAACAACAAATTAAAGATGCAGATTCAAATGCTTCTAATTGTTCTCTAAATCAAACTTTCGATTATAACGATAGCAAGTTAATGACAATTGGTATACAAAATCATGATATTTAGCAGTCATAGATTCTATATAGTTAGTTATATTATACAATATAAACAGATAATTCTATTCTAGATAGAGAAATCAATACAGGTCTTGTACTTAAAGACCCAGATTTAAACGTCTCTAATTATTTCATAAATCAAGCCTTTTACAATGACAATGGAAACACGATGATAATTGGAAAATAAAGGTGTAATATTTAGCAATAATAGTCTTTATCTTCAGTTACGCTGTATAATATAAACAGATCCATTATTCTAGATAGAGAAATCAATATGTATATTCAAATTATGGACGAAGATCCAAGAGCTGCTTCGTGTTTCGTGAATCAAGTCTTTGATTTCGATGAAAATGATTCAATGATAATTGGTAGATAATAACTGGGCATGGACTATATTCTGCAATCAATCTTTCTACTTAGTTTGCTTTATAATATATTAATATAATATTGAATTTATTTACTTTTTTTAATTTACAGACGAAATAAATACAAGCGAACGAAAAGAAATTCTTATAGCACCTAATACAGTTAAAGAATATTCTAAATTAAATAATTCTAACTTCTCTTCTGTATTCTTACATAATTTTTAGAAATCAAAATTTAAATAATTAATTTGCATTTTCTCAGTATTAATTAATTAATTAATTTTTTTGAAAGGATTTGGATTCAAATGACTATATCTACATTAAAGCTGTGGAAGATAGTTTTGATTTCATTTATCGTATTCCAAGAATCAACAAGACAACAATATGCAGAATAAATCAAATGAAAAACAATTCTGAGAATATTGCCTACTACCTTCACCTAGAAAAAATGGAGGAAAAAGATTTGTATAGATTCATATAGGAATAAATAACACTTTAAAAGTTAATAATTATACTTTAATGAAAGTATTTCTGTTAAGTGCAAGAAAAAAAAGCAATTATCCAGTTATAGAATACGTTATCTCATTGTATAGAGATTACAAACAAAATAATAAAAATTTCAGCATAGGATTATTAATTTAAGTGTTTGAAGTAGCATAAAAGTAGAAAAGTTTGTAATAAAATTACCTTAAATTATATTTTAAAAATTGCTAACAAAATTTTGGAATTTAATTTAATTTGAAAGAATTGGAGATATATATATATATATATCATTTTCAATATGATATATATTGAAATATATATATATATATATAATCAAACCATTTAGGTACTCATTATACTTTGCATGATATTACAAACAGTTTTTTCAATGATAAATTTGTATTAATTGTTTACGTAAGTTATTATATTATTTTCAAACTGAAATAGTTTTTTCCCACTTGTAAATGACAACTTTATAACGTTATTTTCAATACGAAACTAATATATTAGGCTTTAGAGATCCTAGAAAATTACTTATTTTACTTCCAAAGAATATTCTAAGCAAGGAGAAAAGCGAAAAATTTATGCTGAAGAAAGTGAATATATGTTTTTAAATACATATTAGCATTTTTTGTGTACTGTACATAAAAGCGTAAAGTTAAAACTAAAATGAGTATTCGTATATTTTTGTGTATAGAACAGAGAATCTATATTAGAAAAATGGAAGAACGGTTGCTTAGATAAAATAATCATTTATAAAAACAAGAATCCTCAGTGGAATCACAGTTAGTATTATGATAACTTCCTCAGCATCTGGATAATAAGTATTGACGACATTTATTCCCACGTTGTTACCTAGTTAACTCGTACAGTTCCCTCGACAGCTTATACGAAGAAAAATATCCTTAAGGATGACTGTTCTGTATAATCAATGTGCAATTTTTTTACTATTACAGAAATAAAATGCTATACATTGAATTTCAAAGGAAGAGCTAAAATACCTTTCATTAACAATTTTCAAATTTTTAATGAAAACTAGGTAAAATGTAATAAATAACTTCAGAAGATTTTCTGTTAATATTTTTAATACAAAAATAATCATATTCAGCATTAAATAAGATTATTTCGGGTATTATTGACTTTATTCAATTCTCTTGGTAACGGAAACTCATTAATTAAACTCTATCTTGTTTTAATTAAAACAGCAGATTAACAAAAACAACATTTTCGAAAAAGTAGTTTCTCCTCTAAACCAAGAATATTTATTCATTTTATTAGACT